CTCCAGCGAAAGTGTGAAGGCATTCTACGATCTCCAAATATCCTGCTTGGGAATTCATTGCCCAGGTCAAGCTTTTGACCTAAAATATATTCTTCAGCGATGTGAGCTCCGATACTGGAAGCCACAGCTGGTTTCAGAGGGCTCATACCTCACCGCGCCATTCTGTTATTCTCTCCCGCATTCACACACCTCGGTGATAGCCGGACATGGGCTCTTTCCACATTCAGCGCATTCGTATGGTCTCTCTAACAACAGTTTGTGAGGACCTTCAGGAAATGCTGGTTCCTCAGCACATGTTCAGGAGAGAAGGGGACAGACTATCGCACTGGTGTCTTAACTGAGTCAATGGTGTTGGATCAAACAGATATCTGTCCTGTTATACATCAAACTATTATTGTTATTCTATGCATTTGTCAAAGCAGCTTCTCGTACGTACTTTGAACTGTATCGACTCCTGGAAAGCTTTCCGCTGGTAAAGAACATTTTTTTTTTCTGATACGACACCGCAAAGTTATTCCCACATTCGGCATAATTATACAGTCTCTCCTGTGTGTATCTGCTGGTGAGTTTGGAGGTACTATTTCCTTGAAGAATTATTTTCACATTCAGTAGAGTTATATGGTCTGTTTCCGCTGTATGATCGCTGGTGTCTCTGGAGATAACTTGGCCTTTTAAAACTCTTTCCACATTCAACATATCTTTACGGTTTCTCTCCCGTGTGTGATTGTCGGTGTCCCTGGAGGTCTCCTGACTTTGTGAAACTCTTTCCACATTCAACATATTTGTGTAGCCTCTCCCGGGTGTGTGATCGCTGGTGTCTCTGGAGACTGTCTGCCCTTGTGAAACACTTTCCACATCCTGCACATTTATACGGTTTCTCTCCTGTGTGTGATCGCTGGTGTGTCTGGAGATTCCTGACGTTGTGAAACGCTTTCCACATTGAACACATTTATAAGGTTTCTCTCCTGTGTGTGATTTGTCGGTGTCTCTGGAGATAAGCTGACGATGTGAAATGCTTTCCACATTCTGCACATTTATACGGTTTCTCTCCTGTGTGTGATCGCTGGTGTCTGGAGATTTCGACGTTGTGAAACGCTTTCCACATTGAACACATTTATTGGTCTCTCTCCTGTGTGTGATCGATGGTGTGTCTGGAGATCCGACGTTGAAAAAATCTTTCCACACTCTGCACATTTATACGGTTCTCTCCAGTGTGTGATGATGATGTCCCTGGAGATTACTCGAGGTAAAAAACTCTTTCCACACTCAGCACATTTATATGGTCTCTCTCCAGTGTGTGATCGATGGTGTATTTTGAGAGATCCGGAAGCAATGAAACTCTTTCCACACTCAGCACATTTATACGGTCTCTCTCCAGTGTGTGATCGATGGTGTATTTTGAGCGATCCTGATGCTCTGAAACTCTTTCCACATTCTGCACATTTATATGGTTTCTCTCCTGTGTGTGATCGATGGTGAACCTGGAGATTACTCGAGGTTAAAAAACTCTTTCCACACTCAGCACATTTATATGGTCTCTCTCCAGTGTGTGATCGATGGTGAACCTGGAGATAACACGACGTTGTGAAACTCTTTCCACATTCAGCACATTTATATGGTTTCTCTCCTGTGTGTGATCGATGGTGAACCTGGAGATAAAACGTCGTTGTGAAACGATTCCACATTCAGCACATTTATACGGTTTCTCTCCTGTGTGTGATTGCTGGTGTCTCTGGAGTTCTCCGATGTTGTAAAACTCTTTCCACACTGAACACATTCATATGGCCTCTCTCCTGTGTGATACCGATAGTGTATCTGGAGATAAGCTAACGTTGCAAAACTCTTTCCACATTCTGCACATTTATATGGCCTCTCTCCTGTGTGAGATCGATGGTGTATCTGCAGACTGCCCGATCCTGTGAAGCTCTTCCCACATTCCACACATTTATACGGACGCTTTTCTCGGAGTGATTGCTGGTGTATCTTGAGGTGCCCTGAATGTATGAAATTCTCACCACATCGGGAACATTTATACAGTCTATCTCCTGAGATCGATTGCTTGTGACCCTGTAGAGATCCTGTTTGCGAGACTCGGTTTTCTTCAACATGAAATACGATAGATTCCTGACACTCTCTCTGCTGCAAAGCATCATTTGCGCTACAAGCAGTCTGCGTTGTTGATGTGTCTTTATGGAACTCGGGATGTCTTCTGTTGTGTTCCTGGAGGAACTCGGCACAACTCAACACAACGTTGGCATGAGGCCAGGGATGAGCCTCAGAATCACCTACTTTGGGTGCTGATGGGAGAAAAGAAAGATCTGGATAAGCAATATATTTGCTTTCTGTACGAATTGCTCAGGAGCAAATTTCGATTGAATCCTTGCATTTGTACAGCACCTGGTGATGTCAATGATTTACATTATTTACTGCGAACTGTACGGTCAGTAGCAGCTTACATTTATATACCGCCCTTCATGCTGGTCACTTATTGACAGTGTCAGTTTCTGATGGCAGCAACTACCCACAAACAGCCGTGAGGCGTCTCCGTGATTAGTGTAGTTGACCACGGTCTGGGACACAGGGAGATACTTATATTAATGCGGGAAATGCTTTCCATTGTAGGAGGTGCTGTGCTTCAGATGAAATGTTATAATGAGCTCCCGGCCATGTCTGTTCAGGTGGACAGTAAAGATCCCATGACATGTTTCCAAAAGAGAAGCGAGTTTCTCTGTGTTCCACCACACCATTAAAGGATCTTTACTATGTGTCTGGAGAGGCGCAGAGTGACTTTAGCTTAAAAGCTCGGGGTGTATGACAGTGCATCGCGGGGTGGTGGGCAGGATTAGGGTGCGGGGCTCTACGGAGGATGCCATTTTGACGTTTCCCGCCTGAACCAACCAATGGTCAAAATCCACTGCGTGATGTCACTTCGCGGCCTCATATTTCAAACGCACAGACTAAATCTTCAATGAGCATTTTCCTCAATCGCCTTCCTATCCCTTCTCACGGCTCTCCTTCCCATCTGTATCCCTATCGCTCCCTGAAAACCTCTTTAATCTGGACTTCATTGTCTTTCCAATTAAGAGCCGTGTTCCCAACCCCATATTGACCACCTGCACTGCTCTCTCCTCAGTCCCCATAGCCCTTCCCATCCCCCACAGCAGTGGAAAAGCTGACCATCTCTGCTGACAGCGCTTGGTTGCCGTTTCTGACCTGAGTCGCCATTCCCCAGCCCTGTCAACTGAGCTCTATTAAAACCAGGTCACCGGGGAGAGACGGCACATCTGACAGTGCGTCGCTACCCCCCACCCCCCGCTCCAGTTCTGTGCTGCAGTGTCAGCCCAGACTGTCAACTCGTTGCCCGCGATGTGGGGCTCAAACCCACAAACTTCTGACTCGGAGCAAAGAGCACACCAACTGAGCCGGCTGCCATCTGCCCGATTCTGCACTCGAGCATTTGATGCTGAGAAACTCAGATTGATTTTTCACTCACACAGGTAATCATCGTCTGGAAGATCCCTTTCCTCAGTGTAATCTCTTCTTTCCCTCTTTCTCAAATCGTATCTGCTGCTCCCGTACTCTCCTCCGCTCACTCGGTTGCGTTTGGAGCTGAACCCATTTGCGATTTGATCTGCTGTAGAGAAATGTTTTTTAAAACAGAAGCACACGAACATTACATTTGCAAAGCGGTTTTCAACTGAGGAGGACGTCCCAAGGCACTGAACAGTCGGGGCTAAGGACCCGAGCCTTGGGGTGGCGTGCTTGTGGGTGGTGCGTCAGGGTGGGACGAGAGAGGGTAGAAAGGGTACGATTGGGGACTAAAGGCACAGTCGAAAAGGAAGTTCTTGAGTCGTGCCTTGAAGGAGGGAAGAGAGGGAGTGAGGCGAAGGGATTGTGGAATGGAATCCCTTAGGGGCTGATTTGAGGAACATAGTGAACAGAGACCTGAGATCTCTCACAGCCTTAGTCTAAGAGACTGGAGCTGTGTGGACAGGAAATAATATTGATCCATAGCACAGCAGTCAGCGCGCTCACCTCGCAAACAGGTCTGGGTCCCATTCCCGTTTATTTACACGTTGTGGAGACCTGCAGCTCTGTGATTAGAGCACTCGCTTTGCAAGTGAGAGACCTGAGATCAATTCCAGGCAGGTCAGGGCGAAACCTTGGGCAAGTTTCCTTACTCCACACAGAGCCTAATAATAATCCCTCCAAAATCCGAAAACAATCATAAATTGGTTATTTTCAATCTACGACTGCTTGTGGGACATTGCAGTGCGCAATTGGCTGCCGCGTTCGCCCACAAATATACAGTCAATTCACTTTACAGTGTGTTCTGTGAAGCGCTTTGGGACGTCCTCCCGACGTGAGAAGCGCTATATCAAATGTAAGAATTATTATTAATATTATTATTTATACCACAGGCCTCCGATTACCTAAATTATAAGTAGGAACGCGCTTGTAATAAAAATAATAATAATCATTGTATTTGATATAGTGGTTTTCACGTCTTCTTGACATCTCAAAGTGCTTCTCAGAATCGACTGTAAAGTGAATTGACTGTGTATTTGTGGGCGAAACGCGGCAGACAATTGCTCACAGCAGTGTCTGTCTCACAAACAGTCGTGGGTTTAAAATGACCAATTTATTATTATTTTATATTGGAGGGATTATCTGTTTACCACACACGTAAAAAAAATCTTAACAAATTGTGTTTGCTGTTTGAGACATTTTAAACAGTGGATTTTTAGGCACTAATTATGAAATCTTCAGAAAAAATTACAGAAAGTACGTTACTGGTTGAATTAGTTTTCAAAACATAAGATGTTTTCAAAAGTCAAAGACAATGTTAAGATATAATCATTGCCAGAGCACGTTCAATGTGCTAATAAAGACTATAATTACATATTTATATTTTATTAACTCTGTAATTCAGCATGTAGAAATCAAAGCTTCAAGGTGTTTGGCATCGATCCAACCGAGACTAGAAAAATGAAAAGTTTCCGTCCCCTCTGCCAAGATTGAGACTGAATTTCTTCTCTGGTGTATTGATGTCACTTAACTATTGACAAGCGATATGTGGTAGTGGTAGTGATTGATGTATCCTCTGTACTAATCCACCTGGATTCAAACCGAACACTACAACTTGCACTTATATAGCGCCCTCCGTGCAGGATAGCGTCTCAGAGCACAATCAAAAGGAAAGGCATCATTCAGACCTTCCTCACAGACTACTTACACGTAAATGAGTACAAATCATGTTTTGAGAAATGTCATTAAATAAAACCGAAATCCCTGAGAAAGACGTTTCTAATGAAAAAAAACTAACTGCACTCTGCATCTTAGGCATTTCAACCACAAAACACCAAATGCACTTTACAATATATTCTGTGCAGCGTTTTGAGATATCTAATTGCTGTGATGAGGCGCATTAGCAAATTGGAGGATTATAATGAAATATCACTATATATTATTAATACATTAAACTCAACAGTGCAGTAAAATCCAACTTCATTTCACAAGTCAATAGCCAATGCATCAAAGTAAACGTGTTGTTTCAACAATATCTTCAGCAAATAAAGTAGTGACGAAGGTACCGAGAAATTGAGAGGCGATTACTTACCTTTCCCAGAGGTAGTTCCACACTCCATGTCGCTCCCTTCGGTTTTCTCAGACATTCTCCCCTGCCTTGTGTTGGCAGCTCATATTTATATCTGATTAGTTTCTTTGTGTGAAGCCAATAATACAGCCGTATTCCCTTCACGTTTAAAGGTAATTGGCTGATAGTATAGCAGTTGGTTTTCTGGCAGTTTTCAAAGCCAATGTCGTCTTCATGTGATTGAGCCAAATTCACAGCTTTTGTCCACTTCTGGGTATTTCAATAGGGTGAGAATTGGATACTGCGAAAGGGAGGGGGAGGGAGAGAAAGGCAGAGAAATGGAATAAAATATCTGAATCATCAGCAGTCTGGGTGATAATAACAATAATTATCATTGTATTTGATACAGCGCTTTTTAAGTCTGTGGGATCTGAAAATATATTCACCGTATATCTGTGGGCGAAACGCGGCAGCCAATTGCGCACAGCAGTGTCCCACAGACAGTCGTGGATTGAAAATGACCAATTTATTATTCTTTTGTTCTGGAGGGATTATTATTAGACGTGTGGAGTAGGGAAACTTGCCCGAGGGTTTGCTCTGCCTGGAATTGATCCCAGGTGTCTCGCTCGCAAAGCTTGTGCTCTAACCACTGAGCCACAGGACCCCAAAATCTGAAGGATATTCTCCTGTAACTGCGGGACCGAATGTCTGATATCCTTAAACACAAGTTCCATTTTGTAAACCAGGGTTTAGTTTTACACCCCGATTGCCCTCCCCGAGGAGCACAGTCACCAGATGGACGTTCTGCATCCGACAAGCGCGGGTTTGAGCCTCACTATGTGGGCAGTAGGTACAAGGAATTCCCCGTGATCTTCCAGGTGGGCAACACATCTCAGCACTAAATGTATCAGATACCATTTGCACCTATTGAAGACGCCCATTACAGGCTCTGAGCTGTTTAATTTGCCTCCCCCCACCCCACCACCACAGATATATTTCCCCCTCCCCTCCGCCGAGGGGATTAATGTGCAGGACTGTCAGTCAGGACCCGCGCGAGAGAAACTCACTTCTCTTTTCCATTCACGTCACGAGATATTTGAATTCCCTCTCACGTATGAGCGAAGCTGTCCAGCCCAGGAGGAGAGGGTCAGGTTACTGCCGGCCAACTCCTGGGGCCTTTGTTTATGTGGCGTTCAATACCTACAATTTACATCAAATTAAACCGCACATTAAATGTCCCTTTGTTTAGTGTGGCGTTCAATACCTACAATTTACATCTCAAATTAAACCGCACATTAAATGTCCTTTGTTTAATGTGCAGTTGGATAGATACGATTTGCACCTATTGAAACTGCGCATTAAAAGTCCTCTCTTTAATGTGCAGTTAATGTCCCCCTCTCCGACCACTCCGCCCCCTGATCTCCTCACTCCCCAATCCACCACTCGGCGCCTCCGCTCGTCTGGCACCGGCCTCCAGCTTTTACCCCCGCCATCCGCTCCAACATTGGCAGTCGCCCTGTCAGCCACTGACACCCGAGAATCCTGAACTCTCTCCCTCAATCTTCCCTCATTCACCCCTTTCCCCCTTTTCAAGTCCCGCCTGAAACCAACCGTGTCACCTCCCACCCTCCCCGGATCGGCCAAACTCCTCCACGGTTAAGTGAAATGAAGACTTTCCTCTGTGCAAACTATCAGCCATATTGGTTTAAAATGACAGTAAATCCTGAGAGAGATTTGAGACGGCGGCCCAATGTCAAGGCTTAATCTAAACTACAAACTTTATTGTACAGTTACACAGATTATAAAAGGTTACACGGGAAATACACATTTTGTTAAACACAGTGACACGGGGATCAGGCGCTGAGATTGACACACAGATAAACAGAGATTGTCACACTGTGCTGCCGCACACTGGGTGTCAGGGCCCTCTGATGCTGCGGCTGATGTCAATGAGGATCATTAGCTGTTGCTGTGCTGTCTGGTGGCTTCAGGGGCTCAGTGTTGGCACTGAATGTCAGGCCGTGTCGTGGCCACTCAGTGACGATCGGCACAGACGGCCTTCCCTGAACGGGACACAATGTGGAGCTGAGGTCACTCGGCCCCGAACTTGACTTCCCGTCACAACCTACGCTCCAACCTGAGCACCGCACCGCCTCCAACCCTCGGCCCTATCAGTGAGGGGTCAATGACCTTGTGGGACCCACTCCAACCTGAGCACCGGCACTGCCTCCAACCCTCGGCCCCATCAGTGAGGGGGCAGTGACCGTGTGGGACCCACTCCCGAGGGACACAGACGCTCGAGCTGAAAGAGTTGTTTGCTTCAAATACAAGTTAGATAAATAACTCTTAAGATAATATTAACTAGGGATACAACAAAAACAACATTAGATTTCTGAAGCGCATTTCATATCGGGAGGACATCCCAAGGCACTTGACTGTCAATATTTTGAAACCGAACTGGGGATCGGGTTTGGGGAAGGTGGAGGACAGGTGAACTATGAAATTATGCATTTATCTAAGAGAGTTTGATTAGAAATGTAAATCTGTGTTTTGTTTAGCAGCATTTTCTTCCAATTATTTCTATCGGTTTCGAACTCAGTTAGTGTCCCGGAATAATTCCCCTGGTGTCATTCTTGTAAAGCTTCTCTCCAAAGCTTTAACTAATTTCCAGAACAGCGCGGCTCAATACTGAATGCACATCTCCAGCTGCGGCTGGAGGTACAAAGGTAGAACTATCGCTCCAGCTTCCGTATTTGTGCTTCTATGTGATCCCAGAAAAATATCAACAGAAACCGCTTACATTTAGAAAGCATCCTTTATAAAGGCAGCGTCTCAGAGTGTTGAGGTGTGGCGGGGCTTGACCCACAACCTGGGGAGAGACTTGGCAAGTGACTGTAGACCCCATCAAACTGCAGTATTCCGATCAGATCTGAAGAGAGTTGAGCAGACAACACAGTGGCGGATTGAGACTGAGAGTTCTGGAGTTTGAGATGGGCATTGGCTGACATCATGGCCTCAGATGGTATATAAAAGGGAACAACAGACAGGTAGGAGGCATGGCCGCTCAGTTTAAATTGGGTGGAGCAGGTCAGGGAGGCAAAGAGGTGAAGGAGGTGATAGAATTTAATTTCGTTTATGAGGAAGACTGATGAACTTGAAATCGATGCGTGAAACAATGAGGGTTTAAGATGTTCGGTGTGAGACATGGTCTGAGGAAGGCAACGCAACACACGTGAAGTCGAGCGATCATGGTCAGGGATAATAATAATCATAATAATAATAATAAGTGCAATCGTTGCATTTGAAATAGAGGTTTTCACGTCTTCGAGACGTCTCAAAGCGCTTCACAGAATATGCTGTAAAGTGAAATGACTGTGTATTTGTGGGCGAAAAGCGGCAGCCAATTGCGCACAGCAGTGACCCCAAATAATCATGGATTGAAATGATCAATTTCTCACTGTTTTGGTCCTCGCAGAATCAACAGCAGGCTGAGTGCGGAGTAAGGAAACTTGCCCAAGCTCTCGCCCTGCCGGGAATCAAACCGAGTTTTCTCGCTTGTAAAGCAAGTGCACTGAGCAATTAGCAACAGGACTACACAAAGGAATTTCGGGGTAAGCAAATTAATTGGGAAACCTATCTTTTCAGGAAGGTTGTGCCAATTTGACAGGTGGTTTACAATTTTTTGGTGAACTCATCACCACGGATCACAAATCGAAGTTAGCTGTGATGGAATGGAAAATATAAATCAGACGGAATTCCTTCACACAGAGGCAGTGACACTGTGGAAGCTGAAACAAGGAGTTTATCAGATCAGTCACAGACGGCTTGAAAGTAATAAGGTCTAATTTAAAACACAATGCAACGAAATATACAGTCAATTCACTTTGCAATATATTCTGCAATGTGGTTTGATACTTTTCGAAGATGTGATCAGGCACTATATCAAATGGAAGGTTTATTATCATTATTAGTATTAATGCAGCACTTCCTCCAGTTAAGACTGAACAAAATTGCCGAAAAATTGTGCAACATCTTAAAATGTGAAATAATGGCCGAGTATTATTGGAAGTTTTAGGACTCCGTCTACACTGTGAGTCTCAATCATGCCATTTTGTTTAATTACTCTACAGGGAGCGAAACTCCAGGCTCTAAAGAAACGCCATGGAGCGGAGGAGAGGCCTGAGCAGCAGATACGGTTTGAGAAATAGGGAGAGAAAAAACTTACGCTGAGGAAATGCATCAGCTCCAAGGACTTGCAGAAATCAAAGAGCACATTGTAACTGCTTTTCCTCTAAATTTTAGAGCTTTCTGAGATGTTATACAGAACTGCATTCTGTTCCACACATTCCTCACAGAACAAAATCCGTTCTGCTCCTTCCTGATCAAACCACGGGTCACCAATCCGGGCAAACTATCTGCAATCACTGCCTTCAGCATCACTTTAAGAGAGAAATCAGTGGAATTCCAGGAGCGTTGTGAGTCTCACCTGTGGAGGACACCACTACTACCCTCCGGACACGGACGGAGAGCAAGGTGGTCGTGTCTCAGACAGAAACCTGGTGAAGGTTAACATATTAACCTTCTGGGTTTTACCAGAATTGTTTACCATCAGATTTCACAAGAATTACATTAACTTACGGAAATATTTGCTCCCGCCTGCGGTGACCCGAGTTATTGCTGGTTGGAGTTTGGCTTCCTTATTCGCTCATCGTGTTCTGAAAAGCCGGCAAGCCAACAGGGCAGGATAACTACGAAGTTAAGTCTTTAAAGATACCGCACAATAGTGGAAACATGTTGCTTTATTTACCAAGATTCTGCAATTTTTTATTCAATTCTACAATTATCACAGGTGCCATACCGTTACCTGGGCTCATAGTTAATATGAAAAGTGTCCCATTAATTAGCAATCCAGTTCAAATATCCGTTTACATACAAATGTACAGATTAACAGCAGAATGTCTATCATCAGATCAAAGTCGTTTCTGGAGAAATACATGACAAACTCGCTTTTTTTTAATTGACTTGTCAATTAGTTTAAACGCTGCTATTTCTCACAGACAGTCACCTACGCTCTCCTCCTCTGTAACTGAGCTGTACACATTCTCGATTTCGACACTGGTCAAAAATGGGCGCTGGTGATTTATTTTAATTCTGTATATTGTGGAGCTGGGGAGACCAGCGAGGAATAATTTGAATAGTGCAGTCAGAAGTGACGAAGTCGTGGATGAGAATTTCGGCTGCTGTGCATGTGAGCTATGGATGGAGATGGGCAACGTGTTGTTGTGTGAAATAAGTGAACCCGGTCAGGGAATCGATGTCGGTTAGAAAGGATAGCTGTTGCTGAATAGTTTTGCTCATTCTCCAGATTTGGTTTGCGTACTTTATATTTTGACTTCAGGTTCTTTGACAGAAATGTACTTTGATTCTCAATAACGTCTTGTCTGAAAAAATGAATATTGCTCCGAAACATCTCGATGACGTGATGAGCCGCTGTATCAGATGAGAGCAATATTATTTTATTATAAAACAGAATTATTATTATTGTAAAGCAGACTGAACTTTCGAAGCTAGTTTACTGTCCAGAGAATATAGGAATATATACAAAAACATTCGCTGAATAAATATGTGAGCAGAGCCTCAATTTGGATTACTTCCAACTTCAGGGAAAAGTTTTGGCTGATATCAGAATGTGTGTTTGGTTAAATGTTAGATTCTAACCAGATAAATCCACATAGGTTATATTTGAGTGCTTAGTCCGGCAATCTTTCCTGCTGCTTGTCCAGCGAAGACGACCTTACAATGGAGAAGTGTCCAATGTGATACCAGGAAGAACTCACTTTCCCTTTCCACAAAGTACTCCGCGCTGTCTGTTCAGCTCAGCTCACAGCTCCCTATCAGAGACAGAGAGAGGGCGAGAGAGAGTGTGCGTTTGTCAGACTGTTCCTGAGTGTATGTGTCACACAGATTTGGACGTTTGGTGAATCACAGATTTCAGTAGCTCCGTCAAACGCTTCTCCTGTGATTTTCTCCGTGTGGTTTAACCCCAGGTCTGCGGAGCCCCCGCCCCATGGGACACACACTCAAGCCTCCGGGCTCTGATCTTCACACGAGCTCCTCCTCATCCTCGTCATGGAGCCATTGCTGCTGATCTTCGGTGAGTATTGCTTCTAACTCAATGACACGGACGGCCCAACCAGAGAGAGAATGGAAGGCAGAGAGGAAAAAGAGGCTTCTTGTTTGACCCTCAGATGTCCTTTCTACCACACGTACGTGCCATGACCCGCGATTCCTTGCACCACATTCGAAATATTGCCAGCCTACGCGCACGTTTCAAGCCGCAGGCCATCGAAACGTGCCTACACGAAGTCACGACATCCAGGCTTGCCTGTAAAAGCTCACTGCTTGTCGGCATTCCCCCATTGCTCCTCCGTTCATAGGCTACACATCATCCAGAACTCTGTAGCACGTCACATCTCCTCCATCAAGCTCCGGGACCCCATAACCCCCATCCTAGCCCGACTACATTGAATACAGTTCAAGATCCTGGTCCTCACCTTCAAAGACCTCCACGGCGTCGCTCGCCCTACATCTGCCACCTCCTAACATCCTAAGAACCAGCCCGCTCTCTCCGCTTCGCGGGCTCGGTTTTGATTCACTTCTCCCGACTCAACCGCCCCACCAATGGCGGTCGAGCCTTTGGTCATTCTGCCTTCACCCTCTGAAACTTCATTCTACAGTTCCCCCTACCTCGCCCCTTCTTTACTTCCTTTAAGATCCATGCAAATAATCTAGTTTCAACGGTGTTTTCTATCACCGTACTTGTCCCCCTGCCCTCCACCCTCCTTAATCCCCACCCCAAGCTTGCGTCCAAAAGCCGTCTCTCCAGCGACATAGATCATCCCCCCGACGTGAAATAATTTAAGTTTTTGTTCTCCGTATAGGCGTGGAAGGAGTAGAGAGTGGAGAGAAGGTAGAAAACTATAAGGGGACAGTGAGGAGAGAATGTATATTTCTGTGATTCTTCGCCGCATAAGCCTTTACGGTTCTTTAATTTTATACCTCATAAACCTATATAACAGCTTTAAGAATCAGAGTAAGAACACAGAAGGTTGAGGTGATGAAGGTGGGAGTAAAGAAAGGCGTGAGGGCGGGGGATAGGGAGGTTGGGATCTGAAAGGCAGGGAACGAGGGAGAGGTTAAAGGGTGAGAAAGAAGGTAAACTAATGGCGAAAGAGAGTGTGGTAGAGACAGGGGGGAGGGAAGCGAAGAGCTCGTGGAGAGTGAAGCCGTGAGGTCTCAGGGAGGTGGATTGGGATGGGGAAAATAATGGGAAGCAGGAGAAGGAGGCGTCGCAGAAAGGATGCACGATGGAGTAAAGGAAGGGGAGCAGGCGAGTGAGAGGGAGGGAAGGAGGGAGGAATATTGGGAAGGGAAGTCGAATGGTGAGAGCAGAGGGAGTGGGGGGTAGAGGAAAATAAAGGGGGAGAAACTCGGGTTGTTGTCACTGGTACAGAGAACGATGAATAGGTGTGGAGGTCTTTGCAATGATAAATTAATGTTGATGCTTCCCCGATTGAAGCTCTATTGCTACGTAAATGCAAGTTTTCAAACGCAAGCGGTTGTAGATGGGAAACGGGAGAGGCGCAACCAGGAAAAAACGAGTATAGCGACAAGGAGACACTGCGTGTTCTGCCTATTAAATGCATATTTCCCCGTTTCCGGACGGTCAACGAACCTTGACGTCTTCCAAGACTCGAAGGAGAAGCAGAAGCGCAAAAGATCCTTGCACGAAAAATAGAAGCGGGAGCCAATGGGAATGCCAGGCGGCGTCCGATGCGAAAGGGGAGAGAGCCAACGTGTCGCGTCCTCGACCCGTCGTCAGATCTGCTGCCGGAACAACTGAACGTCCCCAGAGACTTCTGCTTTTGCTCTCAGGATTCCGGAGTCTGCAGTAATTTGTGTTTTTTTCTTGCGCAGACAATGCTGTTCAGCCCAATAGTGTGTTTGCGAGTCTGTCATATTTCTGGAGAAAAAGACTGCGGCATCTGCAGGTGAGTGACACAATCTGACAACCAAAAGTTGCTGTGGGAACACTGTCACCCTTCCTCTAACCCTACACCTTGCCCCTTCCTTCTCCGTTTCAGTTAGCGCTTGAAGACCTTCCTAATCCAACTTGCTTCACTCAGACGTATGGTATTCAGTGCAGAGGGAGCGAATCTGCTCTGAGGGATCTGCGCTGATATATTCTGTAACGAAGTAGTAAACGATGATCGTATTTTGCGTGGAATCTTCTATCATATATAAACAACAACAACAACAAAATTCCATTTATAGAGCGCCTTTCACGTCTGGAGGACGTCCCAAGGCGCAGTATAGTTGGGTCAGGACCCGAGCATTGGGGGAAATGGTCAGGGTGAGGGGAGGGGAGGGAGCGAGGAGGGGGATATGGTCAGGGTGAGGGGAGGGAAGGGAGGGAGGGAGCGAGGAGGGGGTAGAGAGGCGAGAGGGCAGCTGAAGGCACGGTCAAAGGGAAAGGTCTTGAGACCGGCCTTGAAGGATGAAAGGGAGTAAGCGAAGGCGAAGGCACTGGGGGATGGAGTTCCAGAGCCTCGAGGCTGAGAGGCTGAAGACCCGGCAACCGATGGTAGGGCGGTTGGGGCGTGGGGATGTGGCGCAGACCGAAGCCAGAGGAACGGAGGGTACGGACAGGTAGGTAGGTGTATAGTAGGTCAGAGAGGTAGGAGGGAGCGAGGCCATGAATGGCCTTGTAGGTGTAGCAAAGCATTTTCTTGTATTTTGCCTTTCAACTCGAGTAAATAGTTAATAATATACCATGGGAGTATGAATATCAAGGAAGCTGTGACTTCTCTCGCGTGAGCAGTGTTTGATCTTATCGACCTCCTGTATATCGCGATTCTCCTTTTCGTTCTGAATTTGCAGCTCAAAACCCCGATTCTCAGGCACACACTGGGGGCCAGTCAAGCCCCCAGGAGTTAGTGGACACAAAGCAACGGGTTGTGCGACTGTCAGTGATCCGGAGATGAAAGATCGAAGGAAATCCATTATTTCCTGTTTGCAATATCCACAAATTTTGGATTATAACGGACGGCATATCCGCTGTGTTTCTTTTGCAGGATGATTGGAATCAGAAGCTCAAATGACAAAATTCATGTATTTTCTGTACCTATTCTACCAAACAGACTACATCCTAGCGTTATTCAGTTCGTGTACGCACAAGGCTACCTACGGGGATCCCCTGATTAAATTCAGAGAGGACCTTAAAAGTCGTTTGTTTTTCATTTATTCTAATTGCTAAAGTATTTCATTGCCAAACTTTGCCCTAAGCGATGTCTTTTGGGTGAATAGAAATTCATGAAATATTGACCATCCAACGTGCCAGGACAAGGTCTCTCTTCAATGACGGTCCAACGTAACAGACCAGTCAGAGAAACAGTAAAGCGCCCTCTACACTATAAGATTTCGGTAATTTCCCCACTGTAACTTTGCAGCTGCTTATGCGAAGAGTTCGTTGATGCTGGGTGGCCATTCTCGATTTGGGAGTTGACAAATGACTAAAAATATCAGAGGTTTCATGTTGAAATCCTGGGTGAACGAGCATTTTATTCGCTTAATCTCCATATTTTAATGCAACCGTATTTTCAAAATAATGCATTGTTACGTGTGCTGCAGGAGGCAGGTGCTAATTGAGGTAATGGTTACTCAATCTGTTTGGAAACTACTCTCATTCCCGAGACAATATCATGGTCCCCATAATTCCGAAGCCCGTGTCCTTTCCCACACAAGGTACCAGAGCCTATCATCTTCGCTGAGTTCCTTTGCATCCCCATCTGATACAGTTCTGGGTCCCCATCTTATCTTTAAATGGTCGCAGTCAAAATCTACTCCACCTCTTCTTACCCTATGGACTGGGCCACTCACTTGCCTCTGGAGGCACAGACTTGCTTCATTTCCCAGCTTTATCCAGCCCGACATCAGCGGGGGAGATTTAAATCTTTCTGCAGCTTCATTCCACTGACCATCTGTCTCAATCTCTTCCTCCCCATGTCCACGATCAGACTCAAAACCTCACATTGGACATTTGGTAACCATACCCTTCCCAGAATGCTTCAAATCCTTCCCCTAAAACAAACGCCCAGCCAGTAATATATATTATTAAGAATATTATCTCTTGCATTCGAGATAGCACCTTTTCCCGTCTTCGAGCCGTCTCAAAGGACTTCACAGCATATTCTAAAATAAATAGAATATGTATTTTGTGGGCGAAAAGCTGCAGATTATGGCGCATAGCATTTACCCACAAACATTCGTGGATTGAGTTACCATTTTATTATTAATATTTTGTTTGACGGAATATTTACCCCGTAAAAGCAATCCAGCAATCGACTAGCCACCGGATGCAAACAGAGGCGAATCGAGCAAGGAAACTCACCCTCTGTTTTGTGCTGACGGAAATCGATCCCAGGTCTTTCACCAGCTGTCGTACTCAGCCTCAGTATTTCCTCACAAACCGATTCCATGGCCTTCCTATTGAATAGCCACTTCCCCTTCCCACTCCCAGCTCGGAGTCGAGCTCCATCACTGTCAAGCGCTCTGTGGCGCTACGTTGCGTGAGGTGCTCTTTGCAAATGCAAGTTATTGGTGTTGTTAAGTTGTTGTTTTTGAAAACATATCTTTTCTAAAAGAAAATAAAGAACGCGCTTCATTAATTCTAGTCGAGCAACAGGGAGGCGGACATCGTACACATAATTTCCTCGACTATTGTCAAAGGGTTTCATCGCTACATACAGCAGCACATTTTATATCTGTGACCGCTGTTCAGGGAACTGTACCTGTGTTGGCAAATTTTCAAGTATTTCAACCATCTCTTTGTGGAGTCCTGTAGCTCAGATGGTAGAGCACTAGCTTTGCAAGCGAGAGACCTGTTTGTGGGACATTGCTCTGAGTATTTGGCTGCCGCGTTCGCCCACAAATATACAGTCAATTCACTATAGCGTATATTCTGTGAAGCGCTTTTGGACGTCAAGAAGACGTGAAAAGCGCCGTATCCAATTATTATATATATATTATGTGAAGACTTGGGACGTCTAGAAGGCGTGAAAAGCGCTGTATCAAATGCAAGGATTAATATTATTATTATTAAACTTTCAGTGTCCAGCAAAGCCCATGCCATGCATTGATTTCCTTTCCGATCAAGTGAGTAAAAACAATAAAGTGGCAGAAAACTCTTTAGGATTACTGAATCCGCGCAATCTTAGGCAACTGCGACGTGAGTTTGACTGACCTGAGATGAGCGACCTCATCCCTCTGCTGAAATCTCTGTGCTGCGAGAAAAGTGTATTTAAATCTGTTTATTCAAAACTACCTGTGCCCTTTGGAGCTAAGCTTGAAACCCATGGATCCAGTATGGAAAGTAGATTTCAATAATATGTCTCACAAATCAGTTAGTTGCATAAACACTGTGTGTACAACTTCAGCAAAACTGCCATACATGTGTGATGCGAGCTTGTTTAGTTCATAGCTCGGACACCCCCCCAATCAAACATTCCCATGACACTTCCCCAAAGTAAACCAATCCAATGCTCTATAATTCGTGTGTGAACGTAAATGGGTTATTGTCTTATTGGCGGACAGAGAGACAGAAAGCCATTTCGTCTTTATTAGTATAGATGTATTTTTCTGGAGGAGAGTGTGATTTTCTCTGTCGCTAGTTTGTTACAGAATACCACGCAAAGCTCAATTTTTGCGGCTTAATTAAAAAAATATTAGATATAGCACATCAACAATCGAAGATCCCTTAATAGAAATATACCAATAACACACGCCAATGCAAGTTCTTTCTGACGATGTATCAGTCATGTCTCGACATGAATCGGTTATTGCGGTCTTGGCGGACAGGCAAACCGACAAACATTTTTTCTTTATTATTATAGATAAAAAGAGGGAGCCCGAAATCAGAGGAAATGATGTCACTGTTATTTTATGCTTTATAGCTTATTTATTTAATAGAATGAAAAGTGGGTAGAGATTTTCAATGATTAATTTAACAGGGTTACAATAGCAGGGTTACAATTGATCATATGATAACAGTATTCTGAAGTATAGCATGTCACTTGAGGCTTAAATAACGAACAAACTTAAAATATCTTAATTGAAGCAATAATTAAAAGTTAACACATTTCTGATCACAACAACGAGGACAGATTTGAAGGGGTGCAGTTGAGAACATTTACCAGACCCACTATATGACACAACACATATTTTTATCAACTTCGATTTCCAGGATAATCCGTTAACAAATACTATTATAAACATATGGGTGAACAGTGTGTTTTTCTGGTGTAACGTGTGCACCTGTTTATCTTCTCCCTTTTCACTATTTGAGCCATTTACTAATTATTTTGAAAGGATATTTAATTGCGTTCTTCAGCTCCTCTCTGAATTTGGTCTGGGTGACCGCATAGATGGCTGTGTTTGTGCAGGAACTCAGCAGCTGAAGCATGAAACCTGCTTCCTCAAACATCCTCAAAGGGTTAACAATGCCTCTGGAATTGTAGAAACCTTTAACTCTGTATTGTATGTAATGTGAAACAGATGTGACCCACAACAATATAAAACTGAGTGATATAGTGAACAGTAAAATGATGGATTTCTTTCTGTTTTCCATTTGCGGATCACTGCGGCGATCAGCGCTGGTGCTGCAGACCCGCAATCTGGTGCGGACTCGACTGGCCACAAGAATGTGTCTGACGGTCAGAGCGTTGAGCAGCAAAATCAACACGAATGGGAGCAAAGGGACCAAAATCTGTTCAAACCAATAAAATGTAATCCACGCGGGCTGATAGAGAAGGTTTGGTTTGACAAGGCAGCCCCAGGGCAAGTTATGAATTTTAACGTAACGATGGAATGTAAAATACAAGGGAATATTTTCCAAGCAGAGCAGCGCAATTAAAGTCCAAATAACCACAGACGCTGTTCCATCAGTGCAGTATATTTGTTTCAGTTTCTGACAACAGATGGCCACAAAGCGATCAAAGGTGAAAGCCACGGTTAGCCACACAGCAGAGTCCACGGCGGCTGCAGAAATGACATGAATGAAGCTGCAGACAGGAGTGTAGAACAAATATGAGGTAAGTAAATAAATCTCACCAATCTGTTTCAGGATTACTTCGGAGACAATGACTGAGAGATCCGCCGCTGCCATGGCCACCAGGTAGCGGGTGATACAGTTGGAGAGTCCGCACTTTCCTCGAGAGAGGATACCAATAGCCAGTAAATTAACTGCAAGAAAAAATATAGGTAAATTAATTAGAACCTGACCTGTGGAATAATATGCTGATCAGTCTGTTAGTAAAAACATCAGTGAAACAATCATGAAGTGAAATTAAACGGTGTTCTAATAGAGAATTGCTTATAATACAATGAAGCCATTGAGAAACGGTACACTAGGCTTGCTCAGTGACAAGTTGAATTTAGTGTATTACTGGGCAGAAAAGGAGAGACCTTCAAGGAGTGCGATAGGTAAATCAGTGGGGAAGAGCCAAAGGCGGAGAGGGCATTTGAGCAGCATTGCATTGATATGCGGGGAGGCAAGTGTGCTGGACTATGGGGAGAGCTCGAGAGAGTTGGGCAAGTGGAGTATGGAAACTTGCCGAACGTTTAGCTTTGCTGGAACACGAACGCAGTCCTGTTGCTTGCTCGGAGATTGGTCTAAACCCTGAGCGACCGGAATCCACCAGTAATTTCTAGCAGTGATTTAACTCACCAGGAATTCCGACTGCTGCAAGAACAGGATAATAAATTTCTTGTATATTCAAAAGTTTAGATCTTCGTGGCATCTTTCACAGCAGCGATATCTTTTGCTGAGATAGAGCATCCCCTTCTGTCACATTGAGGTAATGCTGTCACATATTTGTAGCCTTTGGGAAACTCCATGGAGATTGAGAGATGATGTGATCATCGAATTAGTAATAGATGGTGGAACAAACAACTTCAGACACGTCAGCAATATTTTTCAAGTATCATTGTCGTACACTTTTTTCATTGTGTAACTCAAAATCCATTGCACAGAAAAAACTATTAAATAAGAAAGTTTGACTCAATCCATTAGATTAGCAAATGCTTTTATTTGTGGCCTCCACATTTTACTATGTTTGTGCATGTGACTCATGTTGTAATGTATACAGGTAAAGTAGTTCATACATTAGGTCAATACATAGAGACCAGCAAATGGCCAAATTATACAACACAATACAGAATAAAATTT